CAGAAAAAGCTACGCTGTGAAAAATGCGTATGAATCATAAAACTGCAAATTGTCCGAATAAATTTAAAAATGACGTTCGCGCTATTGATAAATCCTTCGAAGACAACTTGGCTTGTGCAAACGGTATAGTCAAAGAAACAAAGCTTAATGGATATAAAACAAATGCATTTATCGACCCGGGAAGTGCGAGCACCCTTGTGCGCGAAACATTTTGCAAATCGTTAGGCGAAAGATTTAGTGCTTTTTGAAAATTAAAACGCCAAAAAAATTGTTTGGTGCGTAGTGCTTTTTTAGTGCTCTTCTTCTGAACTCAAATTTCTCATAGATAATACGGTGAAACGCTTTTTTTCCCCAAGTTTTGGTGCTTTGTGAAACTCAGAAGTTGGCAACACTGCTTTAAATGGTTTTGGCGGTGGTAAAGTCCAGTGCAATGGTCAAATTAATGCAGTTATGGAAATCGACAATGCAAAATATATAGTAAATCTACTTATTGTGAATGACGATCTAATCAATGAGAATGTTTTGTTGGGAACCAATAGTCTGTGCCGTGATGGTTCACGGTTAATAATCGAAGACGGCCGATGTAAAATCGAAAAAAATATTAAAAATTACTAACGAAAAAAATCTAAATCCCAATGATTACAATAAACTTCAAAATGTGCTACATAGTAATCGTGAAGTATTTGCTGAAAAGGTTTTGAGCTTGGTTGTTGCGAATTGGCCACACTGAAAATTGAGTTAAATAGCAATAGTCCGGTAAATTTAAAACCCTATCGTATACCATTTGCAAAACGTCCAATTGTGAGCGAAATTATAAAAGACTTGCTTGATAATAACATCATACGTCCTTCCGAATCACCGTACGCCTCTCCTGTAGTACTTGTCGAAAAGAGCAATGGAGAACACCGTCTTTGTATTGATTATCGCTGTCTTAACAAAATTACCGTAAAAATGTCTTACCCAATGCCTATAATGGAAGAACATTACGCTCAGTTGGCAGGTAACAAACTCTTTACTACATTGGATTTACGCATGGAATATCATCAAATCGAGATTAATGAAGATTGTAAAAAGTACACCGCATTTGTAACCACAGACGGACATTACGAATACAACCGTATGCCGTTTGGTTTGGTAAACGCTCCAGCTATGTTCCAGGCGGTGATGAACGAAGTTATTGCCAAGATGAAACCAGGTGCAGTGCTAGCGTATCTGTATGATGTCATCATTCCCAGCCGTAATGTGGAAGAGGGTTTGCAACGACTTCAGAAATTTCTTGGTATATTGCGTGAATGTGGATTAACTTTGCGACTGGCTAAATGTAAATTTTTGCAAAATGAAATCGAATTCCTTGGCCACATTATAAATGAAAATGGTATAACACCAGGAACACGAAAAGTGTCCGCTATCCGAAATTTCCCAGAACCGATAAACATTACCGATTTACGAAGATTCCTGGGTCTAACTGGATTTTTTAGGAAATTTGTACCAAATTATTCCCTTATAACTAAAGCTCGGAACACTTTGAGGACTGCAACTTCACGACGTAACGACAGCGACATCATTTTGTCGACAAATGTCGCCTTGAAGCCAGCTTCTTAAACATTTTGAAGACCTCAGCGACATAGCAATCAGCTGATTTAAAGTTTGACATTTTGGTATATTTATTTCACAAATTGTGTATTTTTATTTAAGTAAATAAGAAAAACATGAACAATCAAGAATATGTGATTAATTTTGCGCCAATTTAATTTTGCAGCACTACATCTACTCATTGTCGCCGGCAAAATTAGAAATAGATTTAATTTGGCGACGTCGACAATTGCGGTCCTGCAGCCAAGATGTCGTGCTGTGGTCAAAATAATTGTGTCCGTAAGAACGTGTGTATTTAAAATTAGACAGATGCTGCTTGTCGCTTGCTGTCGTCAAAGTGTTCCGAGCTTAAGCACTTGACAACGTTGCTACATAAAAATAAAGCAAATCAGTTTTGTTGGGACGAACCGCAGAAAATCGCATTTTCTAAAATTATTGACGTGTTAACTAGCGAGCCAGTCTTAGTGTTATTCGATACAAATGCACGACATGAAGTACACACCGACGGCAGTAGTATTGGTCTTGCTGGTGTATTGCTACAATCAAACGACAATAAAAACTGGAAACCGGTAATGTACTACAGCAGGCCTTGCACCGACGTTGAAAGCCGCTACCATTCATACGAACTAGAATCGCTCGCCGTGGTCGAGGTTCTTGAACGTTTCCGTATTTATGTGTTGGGTAGAAGATTTCGTCTGGTAACTGACTGCTCAGCAATCGCTAAAGTTCGTGACAATAAAGAGCTTAAATCTAAAATAGCTCGCTGGTGGTTAAAGCTCTTGGAATACGATTTTGAAGCCGTACATCGCTCTGGCAGCTCGTTGGCTCACGTACACTGAGAAAAAAAACGCGATGTAAGAATAAAAAAATTTTACTTGATTACCATTTAAAAATGCTCATATTTAAATCTAGTGAAAAGTGTTAACGAAATGGATTTTTCCATTATACATACACTACGTATAATGGAAATATTCAATTCAAATACGCCTGTATTAAAATTAAGCATTTTTCACTACACGGATGGCGTTTTGCCCGTCTCGTATGCTTTTTCATATGTAATTAAGAAAGTATATGTATACAAAGCATGCACAGCGGTGACAACACATACACACATACGTAGTACCACGTTTATCTGTACAAATGCACTAATCGCGCGCTGTGATGTTGATTCAAACTCAACATTTGAAAACACATTTCCATGTAAGGCTGTAGCTGAGTGTGCAAAGACACTTGATACAACTGGTGGCTGCCGAGAGGGCCGGGTTCAATTACCATCAGACGGGAACATAGAATAAATTCTTTTTTTCTTCTTAATTATAATTTCGTATAACGAAAAAGCATCTTCACAACGACTTTTTTTATAACGTACATACTCAAATTTAAAACGAGTTGGGTTGGTGCTCTTTTATATGCGTATTTTTTTAAATTTTGCACGTTTTTTTTTATTTTAAAATTTGTTTCCCTCAGTGTAGATGCCTTAAGCCGTTCGCCAGATCAACCAGCAGCATCCGTCGAACCGGCAGGGTTTATTATGAAAGTAAATCCTAATCTAGACGACTGGGTGTACACCATGCAACTTCAAGATCCTGGATTAAATGAAGTAATTGCTATTTTGAGTGGAGCGACGAAATCGCCGCGTGAATCTGAATTACGAAAGGAATACAAATTGCAAAATAAACGACTTGATCGTAAAGAGGGTGAATGTATTAAATTCGTTGTGCCCAAAGCAGTCAGATGGCGCATTGTCGAACTTTATCATGATCAAATGGGTCATTTTGCCATCGACAAAACACTTGATCGAATTTGTCAGACGTTTTGGTTTCCGCAGATTCGAAAATATGTGAAAAAGTATACAGCCGCTTGCATAGAATGTTGTTACCGTAAATCTCATTCCGGTAAAATCGAAGGAAGTCTAATTACGACGCTCTTGATATTATCCCATTTAACACAATCCACATCGATCACCTAGGACCTTTCATACGTAGTAAGAAAGGAAATAGCTACGTTCTTGCAATATCAGATGCATTTACGAAATATCTAATAGTTAAACCCGTGCGAGATAAAACGACTTCTCATGTAATTACCACCTTAAATGAAATAACATCTTATTTCGGGTTACCATCGCAAGTTATAATAGACAGAGGTACCGCCTTTACCTCAGAAACATTCGAATTGTATTGTGAACGTTATTGTATCAGACATACTAAACGCGTTCATACGGCCAAGTGGAACGCGCGAATCAAACTATATTAAACTATTTGCGTACCTCGGTCGAAAACGCTAAAGAATGGGACCTAAATCTACGTAACGTGCAATGGACTATAAACTCGCAAAAGAACAGCACATCAGGTTTTAGTCCTAATGAACTTATTTTCGACTTCAATCTTCGAGACATTATTCAAAATCGCTCGTTAGCCGCTGTACATGAAGGCACGGTAAATCACACAGATCACGCAACAATCACCGAAAAAACGCACTCAAGCAGCTGACAATATTGAACGCGAAAGAAAGAAATGGAAACAACGATTTGATGAAAAAAAATGACTTAGTGGTTATCGCAAACCAGCCACCCGCAACAGGCGAATCCCGCAAATTAGTGCTTAAATATCGAGGCCTCTATCGTATCGCCAAAGTCCTGAATAAAGACAGATATCTGATTGAAGATATCCCTGGTATGCAAGTAAAATCACGAAAATTCTTTTCTGTGTTCGAGTCCAGTAAAATCAAGCCTTGGTGCGAAAGTAGTCCCGAGCTTACTTACTTACTTTGTACGTTTTTACACATTCCAAAGAAAAATTACGCATTCGGGAGAATTTTTTACTCATTCGGAAGAATTTTCTACCTTAAAGTAAGGAAAGTTTTTCTTTGATCCAGAGATGGACTTTTGGTTCGGTGTAAACCGGTTCTGCAGTTCAAACCGAAAATCACGCCACAAACAAATGTTAATACAACATCAAGCGCAAGAGGTGTTCCTAACTCGTTGGAAAATTTTAAATGTTACAATTGCTTAAAACTCGGGCATTACGCCATAAAGTGTCCTGAACCTCTGTTTAGACGCGACTACTACCACCAGGCGCCTAAATGCATGCTATGTACTGCTGCATGTGCAAAAAT